CTGTTTGAAGTGGGGAAGCAGGGTCAGAATGCTCCTCTCCCAGGTGGGCAGGACAGCCCGTTCTGTCTCTGTCCTGAAGGTTTGCCTATTTTGGTTGTGGCTACCAAAATCAATAGTTAAAAGACAAAGAGAGGATGAGGCTTTGGGGACTGATAGATCTTATAGGTTTATGCAGCAAGTGAAGCACGCAGCAGGCAACTCCTTTGTGCAAGGAGGAGGTTCCAGCATTTTAGAAAAGAAATGAGGGCTCACGAGAGAGGAGCCCCAGAAGACCCGCCCTCTAGGGATCTAGAAGAGAAGACTGTCACTCTTACCTCTCCAGTCCAGGGACTGCGGGGCGAAAAGAGTCACCCTCTAATCTGTACCTGCTCTACATTCAATTGGTTGCCAGACCCTGTGTGTGTGTGCGTGTGTGCGCATGCACACGGATGTACGGCTCATTGGGATCTCCCAGGAACCACTCTGGCGGGTCTCTGGCCCTGGCTCTGGACAGGTGTGCTGAAGCTGCAGTCAGGGCCACCTGGCAGCTCCAGTTGCTGTGAGCATGCTGTCATGGAAACGGCCCTGGGGTTGGCCTGGAGGTGGCAGTTTCCCAAAGCTAGGCGATTCAGTAGAGGGAAAGACGGGAAACACATACCCTTCAAGAGTGGTCTCTCTGATCCCCTCAGCAGTCCACAGAAGCCCAGGTGGGTGCTGGGAGAAAGTGGGAGGAGGAAGGTGAGAACTGATCTGGGGCCGGAGTAAGGGAGTCCTCTCAAGAGTTGCTCAGTCAGTCGACTGTGAAGAGTTGGCCTCTGGCCCAAAGCTTCCAAAGGAGCAGAAAGGGGGCTGGCATTTGTCCCTAGCGGAGGGGCACACCCGGGAATTCACAGAGCCCATCTCTGCTCTAGCCAGGGATTTGAGGTTGCAGGGAAGGAAACTCAGGGGGAGCCAAGGCAGCCTGGAGCAATTGCAGGGCACAAAGGCTGAATTTGTAGCCATCTCCAAAGCCCCAGGGCTGTCCCCTCCACTACCGGTTCATTCTGGTGCTGCCGGTAGGGTGATTTATAGGGTAGCTCAGGCCTTCACCCTGGGTGAAGGGCTGTGTAGCTTCAGACTTACGTCAGTGACCAGGACTGGCTGTCCTTGGACAAAATGCTTTTGGAGATGCATTCTTCCACCTGTAAAATGTGGGTGTAGACAGCGTTTAGCCTCTCAGAGCTTAGGGCTGCAGACGAAGCTCAGGGACAGCCCACGAGTATGCTTTAATCTTTCTCTGCTCTACCAGGACATCCCGTGAAGCTCCCCGCATGTGATCTGAGGATGGCTGAGCCACAGGGCCAAGAGCTCACAGCTGAGTGCCCTGTCTGCTGGAATCCCTTCAACAACACGTTCCACACTCCCAAAGTGCTGGACTGCTGTCACTCCTGCTGCGTGGAATGCCTGGTCCACCTCAGCCTGGTAGCTCCAGCCAGGCGCCGCTTGCTTTGCCCACTCTGCCGTCAGCCCACCATGCTGGCTTCAGGGCAACCAGTCACTGACTTGCCTACAGACACTGCCATGTTGACCCTGCTCCGCCTAGAACCCCACCACATCATCCTCGAGGGCCACCAGCTCTGTCTCAAGGACCAACCCAAGAGCCGTTACTTACTGCGTCAGCCTCGGGTCTATACCCTGGACCTTGGCCTGGAACCTGGGAGTCAGATTGGAACCTCTCAGAACACAGTGCCTGACACCAGACCTATGCCCATCCCCAGCCACTACTCTCTTAGAGAGTGTACCCGCAACCCTCACTTCTGGACCTTTGTCTACCTGATGGCTGTCATCCTCAGTGGTATCCTACTGCTCATCTTCTCCATCTTTTGGACTAAGCAGTTCTTTTGGGGCATGGGGTGAACACTCTCTGTTCCGGCACAAGGAATCGAGCCTTTCTTTGTGATTGCTGGAATGAGGACCACTGAGCCTCCTTTGATGTTGCCTTCCTTGTAGTATTGCTCATTTGAGCCCAGGGATTGCTTAGGCCATGTGTCTGCTTTGGAGAACAGAGATGGCCCGACATGAAAAGCCAAAGGGCTAGGGAGACCTGCAGGTGAACTGTGGGGTTATGGGGTGTAGAGTTCTGTGGCTCCATGGTCACATGGCAAGTTGTGCCAAAGGGCTGGACAGCACGGTCCAGACATCTTTCACTGGAGCTGAGCTGAGCTGTTCATGCGTTGCTGACAATTCTGGAGTCTTTCAACTTGTGGGCCAATGTATTTGTCCCCTTTTTCAGCTTTCTCTGATTCTTGCCACCATTCCTAGTAAAATTAGCCTGCATTCTTTAATTCATTGGTTTCTTCCTTCCACAACCATTTATTGGTCAGAGGCTGAGAGAGGATAGACTGTTCCTGGGGTGGCAGTGCCCCCCATTGAAGGGAAGGCATGCGGGCCAGCTGGTGAGAACCCGGGGCCCGAGAGGCCTCAGCTGCACCTCAGGCTGAGCAGCCTGGGGCACAGGGGTGACCCTGCCTTCCTCCTTCATATGATGTCACCCAGGAATCAAGAATCTAAAATTTAGCCAGACCAGCTGCTGCTGGACAGATGGCCACACCGTGTGTGGCTGCCGCTCCTCTGGCTTGAACATGTTCTGGCTCCAGGCTTTGAAGCAGTCCCACAATCAGGAGACATTTTACTTTTTTTGATTTATAGAATAAGCTGTCAGAGATCAGAGCTTGAGTCAGTTTTATTTGCTCTAAATATTTTTGCAGAAGTATCATTTATTTATAAATTCCTTAGGGGGCAAGGTACAAGATACTATAAAATAGTCACTTTGATTTAGTAATCCAGATAGTTTTCAGCTCCAATGCAGAGGAAAGTCCTCCATTACGAAACAGACCAGCACCCAGGGCACTGAGCCCGCACTGGTGCTGAGGCTCACATCCCCCACTGACTTCATTTCTCTACATACTTTTAACTTTGTGGCAAGTAAGTTAGGCAACTATCTCACCATATTCTCTGAGCTAATTGGGACAGGGACAGAGGAGCTGCCAAAGGCCCAAGCAGCAACGTTTTCCCTCCTCCAGAGGCCCTGGTCCAAGGAAGCTTCATTGTGATGGAACTGAGGCTCTGGCCAGGGTTACCCGGCTACCATCTTTAGGGTGGTGGGTCTTCTGAAACCAGTACGTTTGTTAGAATGGACAATATGTTTAGGATGTTCACTCCTACGCTGCATTTATTAGTTCTAACCTTGGGGTAGTATTAGTCAGTCGTGTTTATGTCCCTGTGACAGTATTAGAAACAACTTGAAGGGAGGTTGATTTGGGCTCATGGTTTCAGAGGGAGTTTGTTGATGCCTGCCACAGCATACCAGAAGGCAGAGGGCAGCTGGGAAGAGGAGCTGGGCTAATGGCTTTCAATGACTCCTCACTGGTGGCCTGTTTGCAACAGCCAGGTCCTGAAGGTTTAATGGCACACAGCAGTGCTGGGGACATCTCTGAATCAAATCCTAACTAGCAGTCTCACCCACTTACAGGACATCTAGAAACATGGGAACATCTTTGGGTGTGCTGAGGTTAGGGACATGGACCTGCGGCTGCCTGTTCCATACGACAGGAGTCTTCAGTCAGAGTGATTTGTCAGCAGCATGTGTGAGGAAGAAAGGGGAAATGCTGGCTACCCACCAGCCAGACCACACGTGCAGTCCTGGTCTTGTCGTACGGCCAACATTCTCCACATAACTAGGAAATCACTTCACACTGCCTCAAATGCTTCTACCACTTAGTAGCTGGATAATTTTGCAGGTCACTGTAGTCTGTTTTGCCCATAAAAAGGGAATATATCTCAGCAATCCTTTATTTAGATCAGGCTTTCTCTGTGTGGATTGGCTGTGCTGGATTGGAACTCACGCTGTAGACCAGGCTGGCCTCAAACTCACAGAGATCCACCTGCCTCTGCCTCCTGCCACCACCTGGTTGAAGCAATGGCTGCTGCTCCAGATACTTGCTCTGCCTAAGGCTTACATAGTGCATTTTCAGCTCAAATGCTCTCCTGAACAACCAAAACTTGTTGTCCTAGTCAGGTTTAACCCAGAGGAACCAAATCTTGGGGCGGTACAGCAGTCTCATCACTCTATCAACACTACAGGGGAATGAAGAAAAGGTACTCTTCATGTTCGCTATCAAGGGAAAACAAGAGGTTAAGGGTAAGCTCCAAATGAAGGCAGACCGAGATGCTTAGTTATAAAGAAAACACCTTTAGCTGTAATTGGAATCAGATTATGTTTAGCTGGGCATAGTAGGCATGCCTCTTTAATCCTTGCACTTGGGAGACAGATGCAGGTGGATCACTGAGTTTGAGCCTAGCCTGGCCTAATAAATACACCAAGTTCCAGGTTGGCCAGGGCTACACATAGTAAAAAACTTAACAAAACTTAAAAAACAAAACAAAGGCCTCAAAACATGTCTTGCATCTCTCACATATCCATAACCTGCAGAGGAGCAGGACCGAACAGGAAGCTGACAGAGCGCAGTACTGAATACTGGGGGGACGCCAGCGCAATCCATGTAACTTTACTGCGGAGCCCAGACAGAGCTCACGGTAGTGCTCCCCCGGCCAACGACTCCGTCCCTGCAATTCACAGACCCTGAGATGCAGAGGCAAGAGCACGAAGTCTGAGGCCAATCTGACCTACAGAGCAAGACCCTGTCAAAAAGACCTACACCTTTCCCCTTTAAAAAATCCACTATAAAAATCTGTGAAGATGGTAGAAATTGGACAATTCATACCTGAAACTACACCAGATCTCAAAACTAAAAAGAGGACCTCTTTGGGGTTAAGATTCATAAAACGATGAACTAGAAAATAATCCTTTCAAAGATATTTTTATGGTAGGATTTTACTCTCAGCAAGTGTATAATAAAAAAACAAGTTTGTTTGGAGCGCCCAAACATAGACTAGCGATTCCCCCCCCATTTACTGTGACATGAAGGACCCTTTAATACATAAAGTACACCCTTTAAACAGTCAACAGGAAGGAGCTGTACCACGGACATCATGTTTGTTTTATAAAAACTCCTTTGAATATGGATACAATAGCCTTAAATGGAAGAGGTTTTCAGCCACAGTTCAGAGTCGCGGCTGCAGTCAGTACCCTCGGGAAGCTCCACGGGAAGAGAGCAAACCATCCTTGCTGCAGTTCACTGCTCGACACCCCATTCTTAGGGGCAAGAGAGGAGCTTGCCCGCAGGCCCTGCTCGGCTATCTTCCTGCTGGGTCGCATCAGTAGGGAGCACAAACCATGTTACAGAGAGCCATGTTTCAAGCAGTACAAACCCAGCTGTCAGCCGGGCAGCACATCTCAGTAATGCCACCACTCGGAAGGCAGAGGCGGGAGGGTCACTTACAATGTGAAGCCTCCTGACATATACACCAAGTTTCAGGACAGTCAGGGCTAGAGAGACAGACCTGTCTCAAAATGCCAAATAAAAAAAAATTTAAAAATGAAAGAATAGTCACAGTCCTGAACACTGACAGAGGTGGGAGGGCATCCAAAAGCAATGAAGTCGAAACAATGTCTACAAAGTTCATGGCAGAACCTGAGACGAGGATTGCTTTCTAATCATGAAGGATTTGCCATCACCTCGAGGCTGGCCTACTCAGAGTGGGGCTGATGTGAAAATTCAATCCTACACATGGTATTTGGCAGAAAACATGATAGAACACAGCACAATTCTTTCCTCTGAGGAAAATGGCTCCTTGGTGAGAGGACAAGGCCCGAGTCCTTCCATTGTCTTGCCTACTCTGCCATCCAGAGTTTGAAGGTCCTGTCATACGAGCAAGTGGCTATGAGTTGCCCATCAGAAGAAATGTCGAGGCCCATTACTTTGCCCTCATGACCAGCCAAAGTCTTCAACGGGGACCAACCTGGATGGGTCCAGATTTTGGCTGTGTTATCATAGGCACCAGTGAGCAGGAAGTCTCCATGGATTGCTGTGGGAGAAATAGAGCAAGCACGAGAGATTTAAGCATTCAAAAAGATCTTAAAAACACAAAAGCACAAAGATCTGCCAAAACTAATTTGAAAGAAAGGTTATGTCTGCATTCAGATAAACCTAACACATAGATTCTACATTTCCAGGGGGCCTCCAAGGTAAGGGACAGTCATAAGGAGACTGAGAATACCCAATAATGGTATGAAGGCTATGTGATCCTTCTCTGGTGGACACCAGGCATTTACTGCCTGCCTGTCCATGGAGGACAAAATGAAACAGAGCCTTCACAGAAGTCTTTGCCTCAAGAAGCAAGCTTTGCCACAGTTTTGTCTATAGGTATGGCAGAGGGAGGTAATTAAAATTTGCTTCTTTAATAGAGGTTCCATTTCTAAGTCCAATGCCTGGGCATATATTCCACGAAGTGTCTGGTGTTAAAGCTGAGACAAGAGCAAAGCTTACGTTCAAACTTGACACCAGTCACTAAATTCTGATGGGCAGGGATGGTGTAGACACAACGTCGCTGTCGAAGATCCCATACTTTGCAGGTGTTGTCACCGCTGCCAGTTGCAATGTGGTAGCTGTGGATCAGAAGTATCACAGTTAGAAACAAAGAGTACTATCTGACCAGAACCCTTCCCATTCACTGAATGTGCTTTACCCATTGGGGGAGAAATTTATTCCATAGATTTCTTTAAGGTGGCCTTCTAGGAACATAATGCACCGTCCTGTGCGCAGGTCCCAAACTCGACCAAATGCATCCAGTCCCCTGAAGAAACAACATATATGTGAATACTCAGAATCCAGTTCCATAGGGAAGCAGGGATGCCTAAGAGGTGAGACTACTGACCTGCCCACCCCCTTGCTTTGTGGAGGAAGTCTTACCCAGTGCCAGCCAAAGAGCCATCTTGATGGAAGGCAATGTCATACACACCCATGCTGTGGCCTTCCTGATGCAGGATCTCCTCTTGAGCTTCTAAATCCCACAAGCGCCATGAACGGTCATAACTTAAAAATAAATCAAAGAAATTATACCAATAATCAAGGAGCAAACCGATACTTTGTCTATATTCAAGGTACTATAAAAACTGTAGCTTAGCTCATGTTCTTCAAACTGTTCATTCAATCATATTAACAAGAAATTCCTTTCCGGCATAAACAATGCCCCACCATTCAAGCCTATATGTCTTAAATGACAACCGGGAGAACAAGAACATTCTATACTTTGCTTTAGTGGCTATTAAAAAAGAACTCCCTAGCTGGGCAGTGGTGGTGCACACCTTTAATCCTAGCTTGGGAAGCAGAGGCAGGCAGATCTCTGAGTTCCGGACAGGCCGCAAAGCCAGAGAAATCCTGTCTCGAAAATCAAACCAAAACAAAAAAGAACTCCCTGGTTTAGGGTTAGGGGCTCAAGAGTAGGAGGGTAGGGCTTGCCTGATATGTGCAGGGCCCTGGGTTCAGTCACCAGCACAAACAAAAAACAAAATTCTTGAGAAACAGCCCAGCAAAGACTGAACTGTCCGTCCCCCCCAATTCCATTGTTATATCCTTTCATCCACCAAGCAAGCATTTGTATTATTTACTAGAGTCTCAACTGGATGTTGGTATAAAAAATCTAGATAGACAAATAGAGCAGATACAGAATAGACCCAAATATTCATGAGTAGGGTTCACAAGGGTGCTACAGCAATTTTAATAGAAATCTTCAGTGATTTCTACATGGTGGTACAAATAGAGAAAAAATAACCTCAAGAAGGGCAAAGCAAAGAGTAGACCCTACACCAAAGAAGGCATGCACATGACTCACAAGCACATGGCAAAAGCCTGCCGCTGTCACTAATGTAACCAAAGAGTAGACCCTACACCAAAGAAGGCATGCACATGACTCACAAGCACATGGCAAAAGCCTGCCGCTGTCACTAACGTAAGGTGCCAGCTACAGTGGCTGAGACAGGAAGCTTGATAGAGCTACAGAACAGAGCAGCCAGAATTCAGCCCGTCGTTTATTCTGGGGAGCGGGCCCTACTATGAAGCCCATGCTGGACTCAAACTTGAGGCCCTCCTGCTGAGACTTGGGACTGTAAAAGCATATGGCACTGAACCCAGCTTGCCTGAATTTTTTAAAAAAATATTTATTTATCTTATGTATATGGTGTTCTATCTGCAGGTACACCTACATGCCAGAAGAGGGCATCAAATCCCATCATAAATGGCTATGAGCCATTATGTGGTTGTTGGGAGTTGACCTCTGGAAGAGCTGTCAATGCTTTAACCGCTGAGCCATCTCTCTAGCCCTTGCCTGAATATTTTTATAAAGCTAAATCCACTCTATGAACTAGCATTTGTACTCCTAGGTATTTACCCAAGAGAAAGCAGAAAAAAAAACCATAAAAAGCTTCAATAAGGATATTTATAGCTAGGGATGAAGAGATGGTTCAGTGGTTAAGAGCATGGGTTACTCTCCAGGGGACAAGGTCTGATTCCCAGCACCCAGCAAAAGTTCCTGACCTTGTATAACTCTCATTGTAGGGGATCCAATGGCCCTTTCTGGCCTCTGTGGGCACGAGGCACACAAACATACATTAAAAGAAAAAGTATTTATAATAGCTTTATCTCAACTAGCCACAATCTAGAACAACACCCATGTGTCCACCAACAGGAGAATGCATAAACTGGCACACACAGAGCTGAGATTAACAGCACAGATGGGTATAAACAGGCAGAATGAACAGATCAAGTCAGAGGCTATTTTGGAAGGGGAGAGTAGGAAGGGGCAGTGACGGTGTGGATTATAAGCAGTATACACTTGTCAAGGTTGACTTGTATAATAAAACAATCCATTCTATTGTATGTTACTTAAACCTCAAAGAAAAATATTTTTAATAGAACTAAGCCTCACTAAACTTACAGAACCAGAAAAAGAAGTCAACAGTTGGCACAGAGAAATCTTCTTTATTAGTGTTTCAAGATAGGGTTTCTGTGTAGCCCTGGCTGTCCTGAATTTGTTCAGTAGATAAAGCTGGCCTCAAACTCATAGAGATCTACCTGTCTCTGCCTCCTGAGTGCTGGGATAAAAGGCGTGCGCTACCACTGCCCAACTCTGCTTTATTTATGTATTTTCTTAAGTCTCGCTATGTAGCCCAGCCTGGCCCCAAGGCTGGGGCACTCTTGCCTTGGCCTGCTGAGCCTTACTACAATGTGCTGCACACTCAATGAGATTTAAAGTAAGTGTGCTCTGCCCGGACTATTTTTTGAATTTTTTCTGATTCTGACACTGAAGTTTGAGAATGTTTTAATTGAAGATCCTTGCTCTAAATATTTACCTGGCAGATAACTGAAAAGGATTATCAAAACCAACAGCTCGAACAAAGTGGACACTAACGTATGGCTTACCAGGTCGTGCCCAGGAAACGCCCTGACGGATGCCACATTACCCGAGCCACACGCACCGTATGGCCTTCAATATCTGCCACTGGCTCATCGCTGAAAGGCATAAAATACATATAGGGGTTAGACACCTTGAGCCACGCACGGCCCATTCAGTTTATTTGCTGCTGTGCAGATACACTCACTGTTGCTTGTCCACAGGTATCACCACATGTGCTCTACACTGCAGCACAGGGCTGACAGCACCTGCACAAGGCTCTGTGCTGCCTGTAACTGCACCTTTAATGCTTACAACCTTAAGGAAAACAAGAATGTAAGCTATTAAGGTTCTGTGACCACAGGGCAAAGTGATCACTATCTCAATTCATTGTGTCAATAAATTCTCTACCGAGGATTAGAGAACAAACATTCTTCAGAGCAATGAGCAGAACAGATTCACTGCATCAAAGTAGTGTATAGATTCAAAAAGGAAAACATACTTTGGTAGAGGTATGAATACTGAAATCAGTTTTGGTTCAATGGGTCCCAAATAATCTTACCTAACCCTTAGTCTGTTCAAAGATACAAATAAAAAGAACTCCTAAGCTAGGCCACTAATTTCTACTACCTAGCAACAACAGAGAGGCTGGAACACCGGAGAGGAAATAAACACGAGCCCAGAGAGGGCAATTAGAAGGAGCGCTGCCAATGAGCACACATAGACCCAAACAGTGCTTATGGAGACAGCATTGCTAAATACTACAAAAGCCAATTAAAACTTGCCATGCTAGTTGCTGAGATCCTATCTGGCAAAGACTGCAGACGCTAATTAGTGCTTTGGAAAATTCTGAAATAAAACCTTGCCATGCTTTCTCTAGGAAAGAAAAATGAGCATTCAAATGTCTTTCAGATCGCAGTATGCTTCTAAAATTTTGAGAGGACTAGTAAAATCACCCACATGCCCACATGAAAAAGAAAATACTGTAGTTGGAAAATACACCCCAGATAGAGGATGACACCAGTGGCCTGTACTGCCAGACAAACCTCACTCGCCTCTCCTCTGTGGCTGTGTGCATAGATTCAGGAGCCTACAAAACTGCATTCCACCAATGCTAACATACCATGTAGGTTAACTTGGGTTGTTTACAATAACGGGAGCTGGGAATCAGTGACTACTATGCTAAATGCAAAAACTGAAGGCCAAAGCAAGCGAGGAAAGAAAATCCCAGCACACCTTCTGAGAACAAAAAAAGTCTATGAAAAGACATCTTCTATTTTCAGTGAGTTTCCTGGACTCCTGGAGCATGTCTGGGGTTAAATGTCCCATTTTAAACCTAAGGGCTAGCAGACGGCCTGTCTCCTTTAGGGATGGCACTGGGGACTGCAGAATGGTAATAATCACCTGTCCAGACTCCAGAGCTTCACAGAACCATCAGCAGCACAAGAGGCCAAGTTGACATCCTTTTGGTCCAATGAGACAGTAGATTTAGGGTGGAATACAATTGCTCCTACATTTGTGTTATGGCCTAAAGAGATATAGGAGAGCGGAGTCAGAGGGTTCTTACACTAAGGAATGTGAACAAACAGTATTAAAGTGATAGTCAACTACTAAAAAAAGACTCTGTACACTCGTGGCTGGCCTTGAATTTACAAAGATCTATCTACTGCTGCCTCCTGAATGCTGAGATTAAAGTTATGTGCCACCATGCTCAGCTATTTTTTTTTTTTTTATTTTTAAGATTTAGGCTGGGTGGTGGTGGTGCACACCTTTAATCCCAGCACTCGGGAGGCAGAGATAGTAGGATCTCCATGAGTTCTAAGCCAGCCTGGTCTACACAGTGTGTTCCAGGACAGGCTGAAAAGCTACAAAGAAACCCTGTCTCAAAAAACAAAACAAAAAGGTTTTAAAATTATGTATATGTGTGAGTATGTGCACACGAGTGGGTGCCTACTGAGGTCACTGGATCTCTTGGAGCCAGAATCACAGACAGTTGCAAGCCATCTGCTGTGGGTTCAGGGCCTCTGTGAAGAATGTTCTAGCTGCTGAATCATCTCTCCAGCCCCGGAATCACAGACAGTTGCAAGCCATCTGCTGTGGGTTCAGGGCCTCTGTGAAGAATGTTCTAGTTGCTGAATCATCTCTCCAGCCCCAGAGGAACTGCTTTAAATAAATACTCAAATTGTATTTTTGTTTTTAATGGGGGGGGGGGCGGGGGGCAAAAAATGGCATAGTGGACTATATCTGTAATTCCAGCACTTGGGAGGCCAAAGCAGGAAGATACTGAATTGAAAGCCAGCCTGGGAAACAGAGTAAGATTCCACTCTCAAAAGACTAAACCAAATCAAAAAGCAAAACACAAAAAACTTTGTGTTTTTTAATTTAGATGCGGTAAAAGCCAATGTGGGTGGACAGGAGGACAGACTGCATGCATGTGAAGTCATTGTTTTCTAGTGTTGTGAGGAGAGAAAGCCACACACATCCATTCAAATCAAAATGCAATGCATAGGCTGGAGAAATAACTCACCAGAACCCACATCAGGTGGCTCCGTCATCCGGTCTCTGCTGGCACTTATATATGTACACAGAGTACATACTCACGTGTATACACACAGAAGAGTGGATGTGTACTGTACCTGGGTTCTTTAACAGTTTTCTGAGATAGTAACTCACCTCGAAGAGTGTGAAGGAGGCTGCAGTCAGGCACAGACCAGAGCTTGCAGAGCCCACTCCTACCAAACACAAAGGAAAGCACCTCAGCTAGGGTTGGTCTGGGAAGGAAATGCACGTTCATAGTATCACTGAAAGACAGTGTTGTCTTGCCCCTATACATTCGACAGTGGCCAACAGAAAAGCACAGGCTTGTTGAAAAGAGGGCTATAGCAGTTCCTGGGAACCAGTGGCCTCCTCAGACTATCACAGCATGCAAGCTGCTGTTCCAAATGTACAGGTCAACTTGCAAGGGAAGGGAGAAAAATTAAATTGGACCTGAAATCTGAGCAGTATTTTGCCATCTACCAAGTACTTTAGCCTTCAGCTTTCTCCTGAGCCAGAGTTTCACTTCTGCCTACTGTAGTTAGGGTTAAGTTTCTTCTTTCTCAGATAGCTATGATCCAGAAAAAAAGCAAAAATAAAGTAAACCAGGGCTCAGCAATTGGCTCACATACTCAATAAAGTGCTTGGTATGCAAACACGAGGATCTGAGTCTAGGTTCCCAGCACTCATAGTTCAGCGTATAATGTCCAGAACCCCAACACTGGGATGGGCTCATGGACCGGTCAGTCTTGGGGAAGTGATAATTCCAATTCAGTAAGGGACCCTATTTCAAAATAAAGTGGAGAGCAATTGGGAAAGGAAGGAAGAAACATCCGATACTGGCCTCTGGTCTCCACATGCACACACATGTGCATATGCCCACATGAACACACAACACACAAACACCCTAGCACCCCAACTTTCCTGTATATGTGGTAATATGTACAAAGATAAGACTAATAATTAACACTTACCAAGTTCTTACCAAATGCATGACAAGTATTAGCTACTGTACCAACAGTACAGACAAAGGCACCGAGGCTCCCAAGGACTGCCTGCCTCAGTGAGACCACAGCTGGACTAAGACGTGAAAATATATACTTGGTTTATAAAATTCCCCTATGAACTACTCCAAAACAGCAGAGGAAGAACGGGATAGACATTACATGCCATGGATCTCTGGGGACCTTCAGGAGTAGTCAACACCCAAACAGAAGATCTGTGGAAGCGCAGAAGCGGGCAGAGCATGACACCCACCCCAAGAGAAGCAGGAGAAGAGGACAGAGGAAAGATATCTGCGACAAAGACATTCTTCTTTCAGAAGCCATGCACAATTTAGGAAAATGTTACTGTAAAGTGAAACTTACCAACAAGCTGTGGCTAGCATTTTAGAATCGGGACTAAAGTGGCAGTAGGAGATTGGCCGATCATCTCCAATCTGACTGCAGAAATTATTCAAAGACTAAAAAACAGCAACAACAAAAAAGGTGATCACTTAAAAGGCTAATCAAAGAGTTCTTTGGCTTTTCCACTTTTGGGAAAAAATGGAGATTGGGGATAATGGGAGCAAGGAGGAGGCAGAAGTAACAACCTCTCAGTTTAACCCACCTCCAGATTTTTTATGCGTGCCTGTTGTTAGATGGCGCTAATGTTGATGAAAGAATGGAAAGAACAGAATCAAGGCTTATCTGGAAGGCCACTTGTTTATCATAGCTTCATTATCCGCCTCCCGCTCCCCAACCTTGGTAACCTTTGTTGTCCTGGAACTTTGTAAACCAGGCTGAACTCAATCCCAGAGATCCACTGCCTCTCCCTCCCGAGTGCTGGGATGAAAGGTGTGAGCCACCATCGCCAGGTGCCTCTTTAGCTTTATGTCAGCTAAACACAAACAAAATCTACAGAGAAAAGCAGAGCACAGCTCTGATCTATTAGAAGGGAGCAGCCAAGAGCAGAAGCATTGGTCTCTGTGAGCACAAAGCACAGAATGTCCTTGTCACCACAGCTGTGGATGGGGCCCAAACAATCTCTAGTAAGGTAAGAGACTGGACGACAGCGAAGAGCACCTTCCTTACCCGGAGAGATTTGTGCAGCTCTTGCATCTGGGAGGTTCTGGTTGTCTCAGGAATCTCCTTATGGAGACGGGCCTCTTCCAAGCGTTTCATTGCTCTGTGATCCATAAACATCATCACTGAAGGAGCTACCAACAAGGGTCTGTCCACTCTCTACTTCTAAATCCCACACAATTAACACTACCATCATAGTCTATCCTCACCCGTGAAATGACAGACTTCTTTCTCCTGGACCTCTGCTTACCTGGGGAGTGAATAATTAGCAATCCACAGTCTGGCCACCTTTAGGCTATTTGGTCCTTCATGGTACCAGGTTTGTTGATACTAAACAGGAAGTAACAGGAGACATTAGGTCTGCAGTGTACCTGCTCTCCCCACAGCCGTTCTAACCGTAACTGCTCACAAAGAAAGTGAATTGGCTCAGTAATAGAATGAAGCAGGCACATGTCCTTTTTATTAACTACTTGGCTTTCTTTAAAAAAGAGAATGGGAAGCCGGGCGGTGGTGGCGCACGCCTTTAATCCCAGCACTCGGGAGGCAGAGGCAGGTGGATCTCTGTGAGTTCGAGTCCAGCCTGGTCTACAAAGGGAGTTCCAGGACAGGCTCCAAAGCTACAGAGAAACCCTGTCTCGAAAAACCAAAAAAGAAAAAAATAAAAAAGAGAATGGTTTAACTGTGTTATGTGTCTATATGGGGGCCGTGTATGTGAATGCAGGTGCCATGGAGGCCAGAGGACCACAGCAGACTGCTTAGCAGCTGTGCACTGCTGGGATCTTGAAGATCAGCGCACACTCTGAAGGGCTGAGCTCTTTCCAGTCCCCTACTTTTTTTTTTTTCCTTTCCGAGACAAGGTTTCTCTGTGTAGCCTTGACTGACCTGGCACTAGCTCTTGTAGACCAGACTGGCCTCAAACTCACAGAGATCCGCCTGCCTCTGCCTCCCGAGTGCTGGGATTAAAGGCGTGCGCCATCGCCTGGCAGTTTCTGGTTTCTTATTGAGTCACATCAAGAGTGCCATGGTGCCTTCATGAATGGAGAACTAACTTATGCCATTCACAGTCATATAAGAATTACCAATTCTTGAGATCAACCATTCCCAGATGGTAGAACCTGTAGCTACCTCTCTTCATCCTAGCAAAGCACAGCACTGGAAAGACCTAGTCTCCAATTTCTTCACATTTTACCTCTTCTTTTGATTTCTTAGATTTCTCATCATCTTTTTTAGTCTTTTTTAAGGCATCAGTTCCAACCACTGAGAGGATATTTCTTAACCTGTAACAAAAAAGGTCTGAAATCAATATGCATGAAGTCTCAAAAGGGTTCAGTAGGATTCCAACACCACTAGTGAGAGACGTGTCAAGATCCCTGAATGCCTACAACCACTGGGAGCAATGAACTTTATCCATATTGTGTGTGTTTCCAGGCTCATATATTATTAGGGCAAAGTTTAGTTCATAAATTAGGCAAGGTAAAATGACAGTAACAAAAACCCATTTTTAGCCGGGCGGTGGTGGCGCACGCCTTTAATCCCAGCACTCGGGAGGCAGAGGCAGGTGGATCTCTGTGAGTTCGAGACCAGCCTGGTCTACAAGAGCTAGTTCCAGGACAGGCTCCAAAACCACAGAGAAACCCTGTCTCGAAAAAAACCAAAAAAAAAAAAAAAAAAAAAAAAAAAAAATCCAGATTTTTAAGATTATGTTTACAGAGTCTGTTTTCTTTCTCACTCTCAAAATACCTTATTCTACTGGACAGATATAAGGATATAGCAGACAAAGAGATTTCAGTACATCACTCAGAAGGGTGTGCAATTTAAAATTTAAAAAGCGTTTACTTTACTTCTGGCATTTTCCAAGTCAATATTTTTGGGCATCAGATGACTATGGATGAGAGGAAACAGGAAAAAGGCGAGACGGCAGCAAACAGGAAGGTGTCTGCCCCCTCTCAGACCTCCTCCATTCTTCTTTATTTGAAGGCTCCTGAGATGCAGCTATTAGCAATGATTCTCTTCCACTTAGAGTCGACTGGCCTATGCACGGCCGCGGCTGCCACTTAGTCTTTAAGGACAGCTGAACCCACTAACACCATGATGTGCAGGGCGCTGATTCGGGCTGGTATATGGAGCGACTAAGAATAGTTTATTCTATTTTAGTAAATATACTTTCTTTAAGGGGGCGGTTTCAAGACAGGGTTTCTCTGTAGCTTTTTAGAGTCTGTACTAGAACTTGGTCTGTAGAACAGGCTGGCCTCAAACTCACAGAGAACTGCCTGTCTGTCTCTGCATCCCGAGTGCTGGGATTAAAGGCGTGTGCCACCACCGTCTGGCCTACTTATCTTTATTGTATGAATATTTTACCTCCACGTATGTCTAATTGGCACCCATGGGCCCAGTCCCTGTGGGGGTTCTAAGAAGGTATCAGATTCCCTGGAACTAGACTTTGAGCCACCATGTGGTTGCTGGGAACTGAACCCAGGTTCTGCAAGAACAGCTAGTGTTCTTAACCACGGAACCATCTCTCCAACCCCCAGTGCATGCCTTTTATTCCAGCACTCGGAAGGCAGAGGCAGGTGGATCTCTGAATGGTCTACAAAGCGAGTCCCAGGACAGTCAGTGTCACATAGAGAAACCTTGTCTCGGGGGCTGGGGAACGGAGAACAGTTCTAAAGGAACTAGGCTTGATGGCATATACTTTTAACCCCAGCACTTGGAGGTAGAGGTAGGTGGGTCGTCCTAAATTCTAGGCTAGCCTGGTCTGCAAAGTGAGTTCCAGGCCAGTCAGGGCCATACTGTAACTGAGCTCTTGTTACAGTAAAATAAAAATTAAAAGCCAAGTGTGATGGTAAGCTCCAGGTCCGCCAAGGCTATAGAGCGAGACCCTGTCTCAGAGCAACAGCAGCAAACTAAACTAAGGAATAGTTCTGAAAGGACTGCAGAGCACAGCACAGCACAGCAGATCTGGGCAGTGGTGAGCAGGATGTGAAAGCAATATGGAAGAGTGTGGGGCAGATAGCAGGGAGGCCTTACAGAAAAGGTGTTGCCAAGTGCTTGTTCAGGCCAGAGTCAAAACACAAAAATGCCAGTTGAGGCAGAGGGTTAAAGAAATGTAAAGGAAAACAGGTTGAGTTTAGCTCTGCAATGGCTCAGTGGAGCTGGAATATGGAACACAGGAGGTCTGGTGATTGCCAAAGCCAGAATTCAAGTGGGGGCCCGTGGCCCAGAGCTATTCATGGTATCCATAGGAGGGTGCGCAGCGAGAGGGCTAAGGCAGTGAGTGGGAGAGGAAGAACAAAGGGAGAAAGTCCAAGTCACAATGGCAGACACGAGTTAAGGTCGTGGAAGTTGGGACACAATGACCAAGAACAATACTTCATACAATACAAAGCACTTGGTAGGTGAGAGAGACAAACAGCAAACAGCCAGGCTGGTGAGGAGGCTGGCATGTAACGGTGCCCACCGCCAAGCATGCTGCCTTGAGACAAATCGCTGGGACACATGGTAACAAAGTTGTTCTAGGACCCCACACTTGTGTGAAGGCACATACATGTTCACACACATACACAAATAAACAGGATTTTAACACATATCCTTTTAAAGGGCTTTGACAGAAATAACGGGGGCTTACTTCACAGGAGGAAGGCTTCTGTGAACAAATGGCACTTATGCACTACAAGGTAAGAGAAAACCAAAAAATGAAATATTGTGTACCAGGGCCAGAGGATATGGCTCAGCAGTCAAGGAGTGCTTCCTGATCTTCCACAAAAGCCAAGCTCGGTACCCAGAATCCATGTAAGGTAGGTCACAACTGCCTCAGGGGATGGCACCCTCTTCTGAACTCCCAGGGTACCAGAACTCAGGTGCACATTCCCAGACACAGATGCATACAGAATTACTAATTAAAAACACATCTTAGAAAACAAAACAAAACCAAATCCCAGCATTTCAAACAACTTCATATTAGAGCAGGAAAAGGTTGGATAGGAAAGCTGGACCTTCTTTATAATCCATAACACTAGAACCTTGTAATTAAAAAAAAGTGTAACTTTTGGACACCTTTCTCTTCGTTCAGCAGGGCCCTCTCCAAAAAGTGTGATAGGTTCTCCCAAGGCTCGAAGGCAAGCCTTGACCTCTGAGTCATCTGTGGAGACATTGATTTGCCGCGCTCTCTTTCTTCTTTCAAACTCTGCCAAGACTTCTGCCTGCCGCTCACTGATGTGCTCCTCAATTTCAAACACTTCCCCTATGTGAAGAACAGGCAACACAGGCGAAAGAGACAATTAGAAATAACGTCCAATCAGAGTCTGTGTATTACAGTACAGCGTCTTACACTGGATGGAGGTGCCGTAACATCCAATCAGAGTCTGTGTTTTACAGTACAGCGTCTTACACTGGATGGAGGTGCCGTAACGTCCAATCAGAGTCTGTGTTTTACAGTACAGCGTCTTACACTGGATGGAGGTGCCGTAAGGTGTTTAATTAGAAATAACATCCAATCAGAGTCTGTGTGTTTTACAGTACAGCTTCTTACACTGGATGGAGGTGCCGTAAGGTGTTTAATTAGAAATAACATCCAATCAGAGTCTGTGTGTTTTACAGTACAGCGTCTTACACTGGATGGAGGTGCCGTAAAGTGTTTAAGAGTCTGTGTGTTTTACAGTACAGCTTCTTACACTGGATGGAGGTGCCACAAGGTGTTTAAGTGTGGGGCTCACAAAGAATTCAGCAATATTGAAAGGTTTCTGAAGGTGTTAGTGTGACCAACACCTAATCCAAAATCAAATGAAAATCAAATCAGAGTTGTTTTTGTCAGTGCCCGAGGGTTGCACCATGCCTTGTTTCTGAGCACGTGCAGCTCTGCACGTCGTCATGCTACACTACCTCAAAGCCATTACCTATTATGAATTGCAAAGTCTTTACAGAGTTTTTTACTCTTATAATATGGTCCAGTTATGGGGGACACGTGGCTGTACATGCCTGTAATCTCAGCACATGGGAGGAGGCAAGAAGACCAGGGACCAACGTCATACTTGACTATATGAACATAGTGAGTTTCAGGACAGCATGGGCCATACAGACCTTGTAAGAAAGAAAGGAAGGAAGAGCCGGGCAGTGGTGGTGCACACCTTTAATCCCAGCCCCAAGGGGGCAGAGGCAGAGGCAGGCAGATCTCTGTGAGGCCAGCCTGGTCTACAAGAGCTAGTTCCAGGACAGGAACCAAAGCTACAGAGACCATGCCTCAAAAACAAACAAACAAACAAAAAAAAAAAAAAAATGAAGGAAGAAAGGGTCAATAACAACAAAAAAATTTACTGAGTTGCTTATTTAAATTAAAAAAGAAAAAAAATCAAAGTGCTATGAACAACATTTAATATGCCCTGCCTTGCAATATTAAATATTCAGCCAAGATTTAATCCTATTAATAAATAAGTATATCCATCTTATTAATATGCAAATTTCTTTGGTTTTTCAATAAGTTGTAAAGTTGTAAGCATATGAAAGAATTAGCCTACCTAATCTATTTTTTTATAGTTCAGCATATTAGCTCATTAAATGACACCAAATACATAAGTCAAAATGACGCTTTAAATTGAGAGCAGGAGAGCCAGGCTACTTCTTTCTATTACTTAAGAACTGCCAAAGCTACCTGCTAAAGTAACACCACTGTAAGAGCATTCACACACATCTTACCAGTACGACGAAATACTGGCCAGGAAAGACAAGACTTTGTGACCATAAGCTTTGTGGATACTACAGTGACTAGTTTTAAAACCCAGAGTAAGCGCCCACATTTGGATGAAAGGAGGCGTATGGAAATAAAGGTCGCTTAGCGACAGTCAGAGTATTGTGTGTGCAGGGAAAGACACACACACAACCCTTTCTGAATGGGAATCTTTTATTTCCTTAAAAAAAAAAAGGCTTAATTTTCTTATGTTCTAGGGATTGAACCCAGAACCTTACACACGTTAGGTAAGCACTCTATCCCAGTCCTGTGTTTTCTGTCTGTTTGAGACAGGACGGCCTCAAACTATGTAGCCTAGGATGCTCCTGACCTTGTGATTCTTCTGCCTCTAGTACCTAGGTGTGTGCTAGGATAACAGGTGTGTGCCACCATGCCAGGCAAGCACCCCTAGCCCCCAGATGAATTATCAAACTTTTCTTCACCATTCTGTCCTAATCTAATTTCTTATGATAAATATGCATAACTTTATCTAATAATGTAAAACTTAAGCTGGGCATGGTGGTTCCCATCTGTTATCTAGCACAAGGAGGGCATGGCAGGAAGACTACCACAACTTCTAGGCCAGTTTGAGCTAAAGTGGAGAGCCTGTAATGTATCATACACCAAAATGAATTAATACATGTCTTGACAGTAACATAAAGAAACAAACCTCAACAGTATACAAGTGGGAAAACGTAGGCTATAAAACAATTTATACATCACGGTATCATTTACAGAAGGAAAAAAAGGCACATTTATAACTGCATGAAACTCCTCAGAATACATACAATGCACAAGTGCTGGCGTTAAAGGTGCCGTCACCACTGCCTGGCTTAAAAAAATCCTTTAAAAGTAACTGTCCCCCAGAAATCTCAAGGTCCAAATCAGGAGCAGGAGAGGGAGCACAAGCATGGAACTCAGGACCGCGAGGGGTGCACCCACACACTGAGACAATGGGGATGTTCTATCGGGAACTCACCAAGGCCAGCTGGCCTGGGTCTGAAAAAGCATGGGATAAAACCAGACTTGCTGAACATAGCGGACAATGAGGACTACTGAGAACTCAAGAACAATGGCAATGGGTTTTTGATCCTACTGCACGTACTGGCTTTGGGGGAGCCTAGGCAGTCTGGATGCTCACCTTACTAAACCTGGATGGAGGTGGGCGGTCCTTGGACTTCCCACAGGTCAGGGAACCCTGATTGCTCTTCGAGCTGATGAGGGAGGGGGACTTGATGGGGGAGGGGGAGGGAAATGGGAGGCGGTGGCGGGGAGGAGGCAGAAATCCTTAATAAATAAATAAATAAATTAAAAAAAGTAACTGTCCCCTTATACTAAAAAGATTATTTTAATCTAGATTAAAACAAAACAAACAACCAAACAAAAAACTAGAAAACTGGGTGGTGGTGGCACACACCTTTGATCCCAGTATTTAGAAAGCAGAGGCAGGTGAATCTCTGAGTTTGAGGCCAGCTTGGTCAAGGGCTACACACAGAAACACTTGTCTTAAAAGACAAAAACACAAACAAGCAAACTAGAAAAGAGCAAATACTATAAACAGATTGAATCTCCCGAAGACAAATACAACTGACGAACCCAAACACTCACTGATTTCAAAGATTACCAGTAATTTGTGTATAGGACTGTATGAAATATAAGAAATGCATGCACTGCCAAGAAGGCAAAGTTGCAGATTCAATGGTAAGAATCGAAGGGAAAGGTTGTGTGTGTGCACATATGAGGAAGTCAGTCTGTCTCCTTAATGCTGGGATTACAAGAAGGTACCACCACATTCAGGTTTTAATTTTTTTTATTTATGTATGTATTTTATATATGATGCGTTAACATCAAGTATGCCTGCATGCCAGAAGGCATCAGACTCCACTATAGATGATTATGGACTGCCATGTGGTTGCTGTGAACTGAACTCAGAACTCTGTAAGAGGAGCCAGTGCTCTTCACTGTTCAGCAATCTCTTCAGCCCCTCTTTTTGTTATTTTGTCTTTTTTATCTTCAGAGCAGAGGCCCAAGCCCAGGACCCCATGCTTGCCACTGAGCTAAATCTCCAAATTCTTTTCCAACACCCCCACCCCAAACTCAAACAAAATAACATGGGTTCTGGGGAATCAGTCGCAAGTTCTAACGGTTGCACAGCAAACTTTCTGTCACCTGAACTAGCTCCCCAGGTCAAGAACCAAAGGTGCTGACCCTATGTGGTTTGGGGATGTGTTCATCAGAAAAATTGGCATCAAAGGTGCATAGTGGTGTACACCTGGTTCTAGTGCCTGGGAAAAGGCAGAGGGAGGCAGAGTTCAAAGGATGGGTCTGTGTGGTTCAGTGGTGGAACACTTGCCTAGTATTCAAAAAACCCTGGGTTGGCGTGCCTTGCACTGTAAAATAAAATTAAAAAAAAAAAAAGAGGAACGATGATTTAGTTTGTATCTTTTTGGTTTTTTGAGACAGGGTTTCTCTGTAGCTTTGGAGCCTATACTGGAACTAGCTCTTGTAGACCAGGCTGACCTCGAACTCACAAAGATCCACCTGCTTCTGTCTCCCAAGTGCTGGGATTAAGCGCATGCCCCACCACTACCCGGCCACAATTTCTATCTTACCAGAGGTTATATTAATATTCCCGGCTTCAATGCCTGCTTTGAGTCCTTCTTTCCCCAAAATCCCAGATTCTCCTTTGGCCAGACGTTCCCTCTCTTTCTCTTCCAAGCTTCCGTAATAGATGTGTGGTTTCTTCACAACAGGAGCAACTAAATCATCAGGTGCTTTAGCTTTGGTTGCCTGTTAAATCAAAGACCCCGATTAAGGCTTAGTCCTAGTAAACCATGCTTCCCAAAAGCATGAAGCTAATGTCTTTTCGTTTAATTTCCTCCAAAAACTAAGGGACAAGGTAGGTATACATCAGGATTTTGTGTGAGTTTCGGTTCTCGTTAAGTTTGGCAGACAAATACAACGAATCAATTTCTGTTTGAAGTATCTGGCTTGCTTTGGGACTCGTATACTTTATTTTATTGGAAAGGCAATCTTCGGTTTTACAATAACTGCTCATCACTGGACAAATACTGAGAATAACCTAAACACAATCAGGGCGGTTTTAGGTGCACCAAGTCACAATGTTACTGGAATACACATTTCAAATACTTCCAGAGCCGATTAGAAGTTGGGAGGCCTCGTCCTAAGTACCGAGTTATACAGTTTAAGTCAAGACATGTCCCCATTTTTTAAGCACCGTGCTTTGGAACAGTCATAAAGTGTTCACTGCTCGGGTCTGAAATAAGAGAGATGCAGAAAGCTGCAGCACACGAAGGCGTTTAGAAATCAGGAAAAGGCTGCTAAGCTCCGTACTACGGTTCCTCAGCCTTACTCCTCCGCCCTGACCCGCAAAGTAACGGCCCCTTCCCGTGGGGACCCCGCCCTTTCTGGGAGAGGATCGGCCTGAGCTGCGATCCGAAGCTCCGTACCGTGGAGGAGGCTCGAGAGGAGGCCATGCTTGGCTCCGGAGCCGCGAGGCCCTAGCCAAATCCGCGCTCTGCTTTTCAGACCGTCCACCGCGCGCCCAGCGAAGTGGAAGTGCGTCACTGGCCGGAAACGTATCGGGAGCGTACTCCGGGCTCTGGGAGTCGCGGAGAATCCTGGGCGTCGTAGTTGGCAAGCGTCGGCTGGCTTCGAGGGGAGCCACGCCTTAGAGTGTTCGACACAAGCTCGCGGGAGAAGAGGCGCGTGGGAAGAGAGGCACGGAGCAGCCTGGGAACTGTAGTTCGGGCCGTGCAGCAATGGCGTCATGGTGGGAGTTGAGGTTCTGGGAAATTGCAGAGGCCTGAAAAGAGGTAGGTTCGCGGATCTCGACTGTAATTAGGAGCGAACCGAGGGTTTCTGTTCTCCTTCGGGAGGACTTCCGTCATCTCGAAGCCGAGGACTGTGTTGCCATGGAAATCTCCCCCTAGACTAGTGCATCCTTGGAGCCGAGGAAGAGACTGTTGTCCACGACGGCACGGAAGTTCTCCCGAGGGCCTCTGGTAACTGGGTGGCTTTGTTAAAAATTTGGACTTCAAGAAAACATTAAACTCTAAGAATCTTCTAGGCCTAAAATAAAGACGCGGCCAGGGTGCTGCGGCCTAGGTTGTTGTTGGTTTACTTGTTTTTGTTGTTGTACAACCTTACAACCTATTGTTTGTACGTGTTCTTTGAGATAAAGGATCCAGGGAGGCGTCAGGGAGCGTGCATACGAGCAGCTCTTGCTCCGCTGATTGCTAGGCCATCAGAAATACGTTGGTTTTTTTTTTTTTTAAATTTTATCTTAATTCTTTTATTACATCAAGATTGTGGGGATTGCCAAACTATTCATGTTTCCTGAGCTGGTCAGACTCAGGTGCGCTCTTTAAGCCTCTTTCCCCAAACAAATGCAATTATAGGAGCACTTCTTCTTCTGGTGCTTACTAAATGCACAAATTATGAGCAAGGAACTAATTCTGTTTTAGGCATTCAACTGCGTACAGAAAATAAATTCTGGTGAGGAATGAAGCTAACCCGTAGTTCTGGAGCCATAGTGTAGTAGGATTGCTATTGTGGCGGCTGGAGAGCTCTTTTAACCTGCACTCAATACTTCCCTCCAGTGGTGAGGCTTTCATTTTGTACACAATGAAATTTTAAGTTTTAAGTAGAAAAACTTCTAATTAAATGGCTTCCTTTTCCTTTGGAGCTGGCTTCCTCTTCCATTTCTCTACTTAACCATCTGGTAGAAGGTAGTATCAGACGTAGAATAATGCAGTTTGAAATGTCATGGGCCAGTGTTTTGTATTGATTATATCACCCCTGGCTGTGCTATGCCTCAGAGAAGGGTAAATGTTTCTTCATTTGTATACATTGTAGTCTTTTGTTTTATTCTAGATTCATACAATAGCAATTTATACGTATGTACACTATTGCAGAACTTTCCCTTAGATTATTAATATTTAACTCTAATGGTCTATGTGTAACTTCAAGGAGGATGATATTGTTAACTAAACTGTTTGCTTCAATTTTACAAAACTGGAATAATTTTTCAAGCTTCACAGGCTTCTGTATTAAAATAATATGAAGAATGGGACTGTGGCGTGGTTCGGTGGGTAAAGGAACCTGTACCAAGCCTGACATCCCACGTAGTAGAAAGAGAACTGACTCCCAAAGGTTGTCCTCTGACCTCTGATTATGGCTGTGGGCTGTGTGCTTCCACCAACACCAATAAATAACTAAAAATAATAATTTTTTTTTCAAAAAGCAAAAGTTTTTAAAGTTACTAAAGAGAAAAAAGCAATAATGGAAAAGTCTAGGATTAAAGGAAAGTTAGTTTCACTTTCTCTGGATATTTGCTTATTATAGCTGCTGTGGAGGACAGGATGACACCTTCCACGGGCACTAAGTCACTTTGTTTTCTGAAACAAACATGGGCTCTGTTAACACAAGCATTCATTTGCCATATGAAATGATTTTGAACTTCTGCGGCCTTACTGGTCTCCATCTTCCCACCCTTCAAATTCACCAAGACACCTTTTCCCACAGGGAGTTGACATCCACAGCTACTCCTGAGCAGCCCAGCCTGGGCTAAGTGCTCATGCAGCGCTGGAAGGACCCGCCTGAGTTCTGCTCTTACACCAGACTGGCATAGTCAGTTTTCTTGTCTGTTTTCACAGCTCAGCGCAGGAAGCATCTGATTAATGAATGATTCACCATTTAGGACCTGGTTAGAGCCTGTGGATAATCCTGTGAATTGGTAAGTGTGGTTTTCACATGATGATGTTTCTAGAAAGCAGAGTTGTGTGTATGTGACTGTGAGTGTGCTGTATACATCCGTGTATACACTCTGAGACCTGAGCAAGTTTGCGAGCTGTCCTGCTGTGTTACACTCTGCCTTACTTCAGAGCCAGGCTGATAGCCAACAAACTCCTGCAATCTCCCATTTCCTCCATAGCTCAGGGTTTCAGACCCCTATAAGACCATGCTCAGCTTTTCTTCTTCTTTTCTTTTCTTTTTCTTTATTTTTCTTTCTCTTTCTGTTGCTTGCCTGCCTGCCTTCCTTCCCTCCCTCCCTCCCTCCCCCCTCCCTCCCTCCCTCCCTTCTTCTCTCCCTCCCTTCCTTCCTTCCTCCCTCCTTCCCTCCCTCCCTCCCTTCTTCCTTCCTTTCTTTTTTTCTTGAGGCAGGGGTTTCTTTGTAGCCCTGGCTGTCCTGGAACTTGCTTTGTAGACCAGGCTGGCCTCAAAGTAAGAGATTTGCCTGCCTCTGCCCCCAAGTGCTGGGATAAAAGGTATGTGTCATCATTGCCTGACTATGCCTGGCTCTTTATCTGGGTGTTGGGAATTTGAACTCAGGTCCACATGCTTGATCCGGAAGTACTTTTATTTGTTCAATTACCTCCCCAACTCCTAACCGTTTGGTTTCTTTTATTTATTTATTTTTTTCAGACAAGGTCTCCATATGTTTCTGTTTCTTTGCTGGCCTCCATTCCCAGGCTCAGGTGACCCCAAGTGCCGGGACTGTAGTCACAGTGACCCCGGGTGTCGGGACTGGAGTCACAGTGACCCCGAGTGTTGTTGGGACTGGAGTCACAGTGACCCCGGGGGTCAGGGCTGGAGTCACAGTGACCCCGGGTGTTGGGGCTGGAGTCACAGTGACCCCGGGTGTTGGGGCTGGAGTCACAGTGACCCCGGGTGTTGGGGCTGGAGTCACAGTGATTCCGGGTATTGGGACTGGAGTCACAGTGACCCCAGGTGTTGGGGCTGGAGTCACAGTGACCCCGGGGGTCAGGGCTGGAGTCACAGTGACCCCGGGTGTTGGGACTGGAGTCACAGTGACCCCGGGTGTTGGGGCTGGAGTCACAGTGACCCCGGGTGTTGGGGCTGGAGTCACAGTGATCCCGGGTGTTGGGACTGGAGTCACAGTGACCCCGGGTGTTGGGGCTGGAGTCACAGTGACCCCGGGTGTTGGGGCTGGAGTCACAGTGACCCCGGGTGTTGGGACTGGAGTCACAGTGACCCCGGGTGTTGTTGGGACTGGAGTCACAGTGACCCCGGGTGTTGGGGCTGGAGTCACAGTGACCCCGGGTGTTGGGGCTGGAGTCACAGTGACCCCGGGTGTTGGGACTGGAGTCACAGTGACCCCGGGGGTCAGGGCTGGAGTCACAGTGACCCCGGGTGTTGGGACTGGAGTCACATGCCACTACAGTCAGCCCATTTCTTTTAGCTACTGTATTTCTTTGGAGGTTATTGGAGCACAAGATTAAGATGATTGTTGGGTGTCATGCTTGGGAGCTCACAGCTGGAAGGGTCTCAGGACCTAAGTCTGGGGTCCCAAGCTTGGTTTCTGACCTAAAACCTCTGGACAGAGAATAGTTTCTGTGCTGCTGTATCTGTGGTGTCCCCAGGTTTTGAATAAAGCATCTCAAAAAGTGTTTTTAAAAAAAAAACCAAAAGATTGCTGCCTAGATTCTCTCTAGTGGCAGTTTGCTGGCTTTTGTTTTTAAAGATTTTATTTTATTTTTAATTTTGTGTATGTAGGTATATGCACATGAATGCAGGTGTCCAAGGAGGGCATAGGCATCTGTGCCCCTGAAGCTGGCAGTTAGTTAGAAGCTGGGAATTGAACTTGTGTCCTTTGCAAGAGCGTAGATATGCTCGTAACTGAAGAACCATCCCCGTAGCCCCCAGCAATAAACAGAGGCTTAAAGAGTTTGAAGTCTGTGCATGAACTCTAAGTGAGTTAATGTTCCATTTATTTTATTCATGTTTACAGAATTCATCTGTTTGTAGCTGAGATTCGCCACCCGAAGTTTTTTCCTCTCTCGCCATTTCTGATAGCCTGTAGCTCACTGGGTGTGACTGCCAGCGCTGACCAGTATGCTGCGGCGGAAACCAACACGCCTGGAGCTCAAGCTCGATGACATTGATGAGTTTGAGAGCATTCGGAAGGACTTGGAGGTAAGGACTCACTTTCCGGTTGTTAGGGGACCTCAGACTCCACTAGCCTATGTGAAATCTGTTGGGTGCTTTACAGGTACCTCAGAACAACGTGTGTTTCCCGTGATGGTGACCGAAACAGAGAAAATGACCCCTTTACAGTTCTTCTTACATTACTCTGTTGTTTATTAACTTTTTCATATATTTTGGGCATGTTCTCCCCAACCCCAATACCTCCCATTACTCACTCAAATTTATGTTTTTTCTCTCTCAAAAACAAACAAATCCCCAAACAAGAAACAAAAAGTCCACAAAAATACCATTGAGTTCATTTTGTGTTGACCAACTACTCCTGGGCGTTGAGTGACTCAGAAGTGTGGTTGGTATATCCAGTGATATTGAAGATATTGGAGAAAACTGATTTTCCCTTTGGCAGTAATGTCAGTTGCAGGTAGCTTCTTGGTTAGGGCTGTGACCCCGTGTCTGTCTACTTCTCCCTCAGTGTTGGTACCCTGTCTGGCTTGAACCTGTGCAGGTCTTTTATGTGGGCGCATGTGTGCACATGAGCCCTGTTGTGGCTAGAAGGTGCTGTCTCCTCAGAGCCATCCTTCTGCACCCCTCTGCCTCCTTTTCCACATAGATCCCCGAGCCTTGA